TTTCTCGTATACGGAATGTACACACTCCCAGACAACAATTGCATAGTGAAAGTTAAGAGAAAGAAAGGAAGCTTTTGAAGTGTACAATTGTTGAGTTGGCCCGAGATCAAAAAGACTCACGTATTCTTTAATCCGTTTTAAGGTCGCTGCCGACTCGTCATCGAATAAAAGCAAAATTGCATGAGCATTGGTAGCGTCCGGTGGTAACAATCGACCAACATGGAGTTCAACCATCTGGAATCCATTGTTAAGAAATAAGGTTGGTTTAGGTTTACTTTTTCTCAGAAAATCCATGAGGGCAAAAGTGGAGACTAGACAGCCTCAGGATCTTGGATACATATTCCGTAATGCTGCCAAAATCTACTAGTATCTGAATAAGGTCGAGTTAATGAGAAGGATGCGCTGTGATGCGCTCAGAAACGCGGGTAGCTTAACTCGCTCAAGATGAAAAAAGGGTGTAGCTCTTGACGTTCCTAGTCCTCTTTGTGGTGCGCCATGCATTTCCTCCCATTCGAAACCTTTCTTTCAAACGATACTTGGCCTATACAATGAATTATGTGGCCTAAATGATGTGCAAGTCAAGCGCTTTCATTCGCAAGCTCGATATAAATGGGAAAGTCTGGTTGGTTTGGGACCGGGGATCTACAGTCTGGCCTCATGGGGATGAGTACCGTAAACGATAACGGTGTACTCAGAAACACAGTCAGGCTCATTATATTGGCGGAGACGATCTGTTATTGTTCATCTCATTGGCTAGCCCATCCTCTTCACAGTTAGAATTAGGGATGCACCGCGGAGAAGGCAGAGTAGTCGATCGTCACCTATGTCTCCGCCCATATGATGAGCGTGGTCTGCGCCTTTGATGAGAACGTGAACTACCTGGAACAGCGTTCGACGGTCCTGGATATAGTGCATTTTGCAGATCATTTCACCGGTCTCTTGCACGTTTTCCGTGAAAAAATCATCTCGAAACGCATGAATCAATGACGTTTTACCAACACCTTAAATGATTACGTTAGCTGGTGACATAGGTACATACTACACCAGTAAAATGGAATTTTTCGGTGCCATAGTTCGTGCGAAATAAGGGCACGATAACGAGATTAGAAAATTGCCACTAACTTTTAGAACACCCTAATAGAAGGGTGCAGTGGGAAGCTGCACGTTTTTCCCGGACAAAGCCACGTTAGAACATGTCACGCCTATTCGATTAGGAGGGTGAGACGAGAACAAATGGGATCGGCTAAAGTGGGTATGTGACAAGAGTATCCGTAATGCACGCGCGATGGACGTACGTCGCGCCAGAAAGATGGTTCCAGTAGGTAGAGGCTGGCGACAACAAGCAATCAGAACCAAAAATAGTCATGAATGTCTACGATGACGGGTCTCTACATGAAGTCCCGTGCTCTAATCGATAGTAACCCGAGAAAAACACCGCGCCCATCGCCGCGCGCGCAGCGGAGCGACACATTTCGATCCTCTTGCCCGTCTCCCGGCTGAAATAGCGCAGATCATCGTTGTGCAGATCCTATTGACTTTCCGTTCTACGCGCTATAATAACTCCCATCCCACCTTCTCATTCTTCCCCTCGATACAGAAAACTTGTAGGAATATTGATGGAATGGTGGCAGTTTTGAAGACAGGTCGTAACCGATCCGCTCCATTTCTAGCGGAAACGAGGGAATCGTGCTGCCACCGCCAATTCTCGTTTCATACGTCACGCGCCACCGTGATGTACCCCAGGCTCAATTTTGCCATGGTGTGGCTCACAAACGCCCTTTCCCACAGATTATCCTCACGTCATTAAGTCCCTTGATCCGGCTTGCACCCATCAGCGATGTTGAAATAGAAGAAGTTCCCGCCAGCAGAAGCAGATGCAGTTGCTATATTTGCGCCCACCCCTGTACGTCATTGAAGATGGACAGCCACCATCAATTATGAAGGCTTTCTAAAAAACGGAGGACACTCTCATGATAAAGTAGACCTCCAAAAGTCAGTGATCCCGAAATCGGGCTATTCTGAACAAAATGTGCCAGAATTCGAGCTTTTTGGAATCAGGCTGTCAAGGGCTTGGCAGTTTGAGTGAGATATGGAGGGACAATTCATTTTGACGCTCTGTAAAAGGGCGAATGGGGTATTGGAGGTGGGCATGAACGCCGAGATATATGAAGTCGGAGAGACCTAAGCCTCTTTTAGAATACACGATTGATGGCTTTCTTAAAAAATTATATAGCATAGGACTCACGTTTATCACCGCAGATGAGAACTTTAAGTCGATTGATTTGAAGGCAAGCCGTGTAAGGCTGCATCCGCGGAGGCCAAACAGCCACGGCCGACCGCCTCGACGAGAAGTTAGCGAATGAGCTTTCACGTATGTCCACAAGCATCATTTTTCTGCTGAAGATAAAAGATTATTATAGCGTTATTATCATTTCTACAAAAACAGCGAAAAATCAATACGTATCCAATAGATGTGCGGAGAATCACGTCATAAAAGATCTTGGGATTTGGGATTCGGGGTAGGGGAGGGGGAGGAACAAGGGAACTTTTGGGATGTCACGAGCGATTGTCTGCCTTTTCTTCTCTACCACATCTTTTCATAGCCTTAGAGCCTAGCCTTTTCAGCGAGAGGGCGCAGACAAGCATAGACGATGTGGAATATGTGCCCCCGAACCACCTTTGCCGCAGGGTTTAATATGTAAGGCAACAAAAATCAATTTTAGAAGCTCAGAACATACTTGAATTGGGAATAGTTCAGTTTAGTGGGGTCTTTCTGGTGGTTCTCATCGACCATCAATGCCTGCGCCACCTGTGAAAACCTGTTAACTCCTGTTAAGCTATACTGTAGTACGGTTTTTTTGCACATGTCAAGAGTCTGCAGGTTCCAACATGGTGAAACGTGTAAGTTGACAGAAACTGGTAAACTAGCGAAATAGAGAAATCCCCTACTCCCTCCTCCCCCGCCCCCGTCCCGTGAAAGCCGAACGGCGCAGTACAATATACACCTCTTTGATAACATATGAATAGCATAAGTTTTAATAAAATCAATAATAGACAAAAAAGGAAGCTAAAAATATTTTCAGTGCTTTTTGAGGTACCTGGGGAAAACCTTTGGTCTTTCACACCGTTGAATAATTGAAAATGAGATTGATGAAAATACGAGTGGTCGATCAATCGCCAATCCAATAGGTAACATAAGAAAACATTCAGCAAAAAATCGATAAGCACTGTCAAAAAGATGATTCAAGAAATGAATAATGGGCTATTGATGGCAGGTTTAGTAGAGATTCCAAGAGGCTGGAAGCCGGAAATTAATGCTGACAAGAAGCCCTTCAGAAAATCTAAAGGAGGGATGCTGACGCCATTTATTCCCTCCTTTACTGTACGGCTTTCAGGTTTTTTGTGGGAAGTTGGAGTGGAGTGAACAGGGGCGTTTATAGATGAGCATTTCGGAAATCGCCATGCTGAACCCCGCCCTACTGTTTTTACTAAAGTAGTGTACACATATCTGGCACGAGGTCATAAATCTATTTTAAAGTCATAAAAAGCGCCCTTGATCGGTAACTGCCCGTTAGGAAATGGATTAACTAGAAAAACCTGGTACGTCTGGGGTTCAATCTGGCTCTGTTCCTTTCGAAG